AGCCCCTCAAATATTGGAAGACTGCTATCATGTCTCCCCTGGTCCTTCTCTTCACTAGACTAGCCATGCCCAGTTCCTGTAACCATTCATCATATGTTTTAGTCTCCAGTCCCCTAATCATCCTCATTGCTCTTCTCTGCACTTTTTTAAGAGTCTCAACATCTTTTTTGTAGTGTGGTGGCCAAAACTGGATGCAGTACTCTAGGTGTGGCCTTACTAAGGCTTTATAGAGTGGTATCAGTACCTCCCTTGTCCTTGACTGTATCTCTCTGTTAATGCAATTTAGGATTGAAGAAGAGCCTCAGGGCTCTTGCACCCAGATATCATCACCCAGGCCTTGGTGTCTAAAGGCCCAGTCTTAGGTTGCTCTTTTCAAAGCCAAGAAATCTAGGAAGCTAAAAGAAAGAAAACAGATGCAAAAAAGATGAATGGAAGAGCAAAGGTCAATTAGGAATAGCATCCAGTGCCAAGCGGGACATTTACAGTATGCCAACATATACACAATTTCTCACAGTGAGAATATATATCAAGTTTTGAAAATGTTCTATTTAAGCAACTGGCTCATTCAATTAAAAGGTTATGGACCCCAAATATGGACATAGTAGGATAATATTGAATGGTTGCTAAGCAATTAAGGAGAATCACTTAGAGAAAACTGGGCATCAAATGAAAAAGAGAGATGTAGAAAGTTGCTTCCTATAAAAAGCGAAGCCCTGAGGAATCTATACAATCACAAAAATTTGGAAGATAAAATCCATATTGAAGTATTCCCACGAATATTATTTGTTGAAGGGAAAGTGAGGTCTAAATTTAAAAAAGAATTAAAAACATATGCCATTGAAATGAATGGGTAGTTAAGAGCCATACTCCCATGGTTGCTACTGGCACACAAGGAAAGTATTTTCATGCACACAACATCATATAAAATCCAACTGGTAATTCTAGGAGATTTCATTCAACCCTATTTTATATAGATACTGTGTCTTCACAAAGCTGTGCTGCACAAATAATATGATAATCGTGCCTGGGAGGGCCTAGAGATGAATTTATGATGAATTTAAAGAAAAGAAGACCCAAGGGGGTATTTATGATCAGAAGAAAAAACAGGATACTGTAACTGAATATTTCTGCACCTTCAGGATAAGGCTAAGTTGGGTATCATCTCAATGATCTTTTAAATATAAGTGGCTTTACAAATTGACATTAAAGCTAAAAGAGAATGAAGAGATGGAGTATTACAAAATTTGGGATAATTGGTATAATTGGTTGAACAGTAGAAATAAAGATAAAGGAAATAAGAAAATTACAGATAAAAGGATATGAATGTATATAAAGATGTATAAATATAGATATTTACATGAGATTGGTGCGTATAATAATGATGACACAGTACTGTTAAAGTTAAAGTTAAAGTGTAAAAGGTGAAAAAGAACAATAAAAATTATTACAAAAAATATAAGTGGCTTTATGCTATTCTACTAAACGTTTGCATTTCATTTTCAAAAGGGGAAAATTACTTTGCAATGCACATTTCCCAACATAAACTTGATATATTGCCCCTCTGATTGTGAAATGAACTTATAATGAAGATCCACATTCTTGTACTCAGGAATGAGCACTCAGAGATGTGGGTGTATCTTTAAAAAAGGAAACGTTTAGACTGCAAAAGAACCAAATAAATGGGAATAATTCAAAACAGTCTAGACATTTCCAATTTCCGTGCAGCTAGAAAGACTGATGCAGATAAACAACAGAAGAGACCTAAACTGCAGGCCACAGATGTTTGTGAATTAGAAGGAGTAGTTGAATGGAATAAAAGCATTTTAGATGGGATTCAGCAAAATAAGAAGGACAGTGACTGCAGTTGATTGGAACAAGAAGAGGATTAAGGAGGAAGATATAAGACAGTTGTGCTTCAACTTCTCTTTCACTTCCTAGAGTCTTGCTTAAAAAAAAAACACAACACAATGAAGATTTTGTGAGCAAAAAAACAAAAAACCTCCACATGAAATTACTTTCCATATATAAGATTGTTGTGCCCTGGGATTGCAAATATTACTCTGTTTCTAATGGAAGTTGTAGCTGGCATCTCCCTAAAGCAGAAAGGAATGGGACATAATTTTTCCAGAAGTGACCCCACCATCATCTCTTGATCACCAAGAACAGCAACGTGAAGTGAAAAGAATTCTAGAACGAGCCATACCACACAACTCTAGAATATTTATAAAGGAAATATTGATTGTTCATCTTATTTCTAGATAAAAATAATCCTGTTTCTAGATTATGATCATGTTCTCCTGTGTATCCATATCAATAAGTAAGATTAAATTGCCTGGTTAGATTTATCTTCTGCAAATTTTCAGAAAAAGTTAATTGGAAAACCTGCATGTTCTCTTGCGTAAAAGATCCTTGAAAATAAAGTCAAATAAAGGCTGTGTTGCTGAGTTCTGTAAGCCTGGTATTAGTTGAGGCTTGCGTAGATTTACTGGCTGGAAAAAAATGTGAAATTAAAGTGTTTGTCAGTTTGAGAGGAACTGAACACACTGGGGATTTTTTTTTAAAGAATATAGATTTTACCAATCAAACTCACATCCTCCTTCAAAAGGCTGTTATGAAACAACTATCAATTTCAATCAAGTTTTCACAGAGGCCAGAACCTCAGAAATACTCTTCGTACTAACTAGAGCATGCTTGACAAATGGCACCCCTTATTTAAAAACAAGTGCTATTTATGTTCTATTAAGGATTGTGAGCAAACGAAGATATGTCTTCCTGCCAAAGAGTGTATCTATTGCACTTCTGCGCTCTCCCCCCCCCCCCGAGGCACTTGTGACTTCTAAATGACACTTGTTGCACACTAAAGTATGTTTCAAGGACTGGCCACCTCTACTAGTAAATGGCCCACGCAAAGCGTGTAAATGCATGTTCTTTTCTTTCTTTCCACTTTCACTGAAAAGCCTTGAAATGATGTCCCTCAAGAAATCTTCCTAAATGATCAATAGCTTGACATGGGAAAAGCTCTTGAAGCATCACGGGGGGAGCACCTTAATTCTTCCAGGCATTAGCTGGACATCTAAGGCCTATCCAAGAGAAAGCACGCCATATTCCCCCTGATAGCCATCTGCTGTTTTTTTTTTTTTGTCCTTTCCTTTTCACCCAAGAAGAGAGAACCCACCAACAAGGCTGTTATTAGGTGATTGTGCTTGATAAATTAGACTCTATGTTCTGCCAATTAGCAGCCTACTCCAATGAACTTCATATACTTCATACCATTTTGATTGAGACAAAGAAAGTTGCACAATGTGTCATCAACATGTGGCATCTCAACATTGACTTGACTACAATAACAATGAAACACACACACACACACACTCTCACCCACACTCCCATTAAGTTGGCATTTGAGGGAAACAGAACAATCAGATCAAATTTAGGAAAAGGTATTGCATGATCAATATTCTCGTAATGGAAACGGAAGTGTGACTGCCATGTCACTACCCAGAAAGCTTTCTTCAGCAAAAGATTTTAAAGTAATTGCAGTGGCAATCTGAAATACTTTGTAATTATCCCATTAAATCCTCCCTGTAATGGTGGACTGTTGTACAAAATCTTTAAAAGGCTGTTTAAAGGCAGAAGCTCCACAAATGCCCAACCTTTGAATGATTAGGTACGTGATACATCCACTAAAACTGCTGGCTGTGACCAACCTTCTTTGTTGCCTGACTTCATCTGCAGTCCTGAAAACCCAGCAGCTATTTCAAGCATACATTTCAAAACAGGCTAAGTATTTAGAGACCAGACATGTCACATTAAATTGTCCCATGTTCAGAAGATTACTAAAGCCACTTGATAAGCACATTAAAAAAAAAGAAGGGAAAAGGAAAGCAGATTAGCCAATAAAAAATAAAAAAATAAAATAAACGGCACTCTGGAAGATAATCCTCTAAAATATTAAATTTTGGACATGGGTTGGGTTTTGTGTGCACTAATACATAAATATAGAGAACTAACAAGTGCCATAATCAGTGCAAGCCTTGGGCACAGAGGCGTCAGGAATACAGTACTGATTACTGGACAGCCTTCTTAGGCTTGCTTGCTTGACCCTTGGCACACGTGAAAACTAAACTTCATTCGTTAAGCATGGTTAACTTTCCGGTTCATTAATAAGGGATGACGGAGCTGCCATCCTTCCGATGGGAAGACCCTCCTTGCAAAAGCCGCTCCAGCTTCCCAGGATGCGAACATCTGGAGCTGGGCGGGTATAGAACAAAGAGCTGAGCAGCGGACCGAAGCGCCACATCTGGCGGATCCGCCACTCAATGGAGGCCGGGGGAGGCGAGCCCTGTCCAGGGTGCTGAAATCCTCCCAGCCTCCCGCTTCTCGTTTTTCGCTGTCCGCGCCGAGCTGCCACCTCTCCCCGCCCGGCGTCTCCGCCCGCCCGCCCGCTTCGGTCGGTCGCCCCCCAAGTTCGGAGGGGCCGGATCATCACCGGGGCCGCGCCGCGCATCGGGCGGATCCGCAACAGGTTCGGGGCTGGAAAAGAGCCGCCTTCTCTCCCCGGGAATCAGCTCCTCCCAGACACACGTCCACCCCACCAATTCAAGGCACCGCAAAGGGGCTGGTCCGCGATGGGGGCTTCGGCTTCTCCCGAAGGGAGCATCGCCAGGAGCTGCCCGGCCGGGCCCAGCTCTGCTCCCCGCGGCCTGCGCGCAACCCGGGACTCCTGTAACCGGGTCCAAAAGGGTTGCAGCCCCATGGAAGGCGCAGCACCGGAGCCGGGAGGTCTCTTCCTCTCCAGGCAGACACACCAGCTCCCTCGCCAGCTGAGCCCGCCCCTCCCTCTAAAAAAAATCCTTTTGTTAGCAGCAAATTGCAAGGACCGGCTGCGCCGAGAAGGGGGCGGCGGCAGTCCATAGCCGGCGGCGAAGAAGGCCGGGGGTGGGTGGGTGGGGGCTTGGCACCGGCCCTCGCCGCAAGGCCCGTGAGAAGCGCCAACTCACCGTCCCGGTCGCAGAGCTGAATCGCCTCCAGGCTGAGGTTCTTGAGGACATCCTCGCAGGGGCTGGCCGGGCTGCTCCGGGGATGGTCCAGACGAGGCACCTCCATTCTCCCGACTGGTCGCCTTCCTGGGCTGGGCTGGACTGGCTGGCCACGGGCGCGGGTCTCGCCCCCTCCCTCGGAGCTGCGGGCGGGCAGCGGGGAGCCAGGAGGGTGGGGGGAGAGGGCGCCCTCTGCGACAGCCTGGCTGCTCTCCTGCCTCTGCCCCGACTGGCTGGGAACTGCGCGGTGCAGCAGAGGCGCGCGCGCTCCCTCCGTCCCTCCCGCCGTCCCTCCCCGGGGCTGGCTGGCTGGCTGGCTGGCTGGCTGGCAGCGGGCGGGGATTAGAGGACGGGAGGAGCGACGGGCTGGCGAGCCCTTGCTCTGGCGCGGGAAGGGAGGAGCAGGAGAAAGAGGAAGAGGAGGAGGAGGAGGAAGGCACCGATGCTGCTCACCTCGCTCCGCAGGAAGGAGCTCGCTGTTAGCAGCGTCTGCGACGCCGCCGCAGCTCTAGATGCAAACCACAACGCCTGCTCCCCCCCCCCCCCCCCCCCCCGCCCCGCCAAGCCCCGTTTGAGCCCCCCTCTTCCCCCCCCCCCCCCCCACTCCGTTGCTTACGTAAAGCTTGACCCACGGCCGCGGGAGCGCTGCCATTTTGGGCTGCGGCGATCCTATCGACCGCTGAAAGGCAGGTAGAGGCTCCCTCCAGGCCTATTTTTTTTTGCTGCCCCCCACTCCCCCGACCCCAAGCGTCCCTCCGGATCCTTTCAGTCCGGATCCGCTTCATAGTTTGGGTCGGCGCTGAGACCCGTCGCGTTTCAAGAGGCTCCGTGATTGCCCCGGTCTTGGGACTTGTAAGTCCGGTTCACCTCCAGCCTGCAGGTGTCTCTACAGCGGGGGGGGGGGGGGGCTTCCAGGAACGCCCAAACCCCCTTTCTCAGTGAAAGTGGACCTGGGCGTGAAACCCAAGGTCGGGGGGGGGGGCGGCAAACGGTAAGAAAAACTAGGGACACCAACTGCAGGATGGAGATCCTCCTTCGTCTTCCCTTCAGATCCCGTGAAGAGAGAGTTAGTTCTTAGGTGGCAGCTCAGAGTTCCACAATTGTCCAGCTGGGAAGTTGAGAGGTTCAACCTGGCTGGTGGCCACATTATAACTATCTTTGGGAAGCTGGAGGCATCAGTCCAGCAGAGGCTAGTCAATTATGCCTCCTTCAGCCTCCCCTGGAGACTTTCCACCGGAGTTTTATGGAGCAGGATGGCTTTACCCAGTGATCAGCCAGTATTTTAACCTTTTACGCTATACCTTCATCCATTCAGTTAATTCTATTAGAATAGAGAATAACAGTGTTGGAAGGGACCTTGGAGGTCTTCTAGTCCAACCAGGAGACTCCAAACCATTTCAGATAAGGAGCTGTCCAGTCTCTTCTTAAAAGCTTCCAGTGATGCAGCCACAACTTCTGAAGGCAACTTTAGAACACATACTGTATATTGTATGTTGTAATATACATATCATAATATATTATCCCATCTTGTTTTAGAATCTTGAGTTAGTACCCACAAGCATCCATACGGTCTGAAAAAAGAGTACGCTAAATCTCAGCTGAATCTGAGTTTGTAGTTTTGGTTAAAATCCTTTAAGAAACAAGAAAGTAGGAATCCAGCCCAACAATATCCTGAATTTTAATGATTTAATAGTTTAAACTTTTTCTTTTGAACAAAGTTCTTCACTTCAGAAAATATGATTTGTCATATTTTTAAAATACACGAGCTAAATAATATTTTCAAAATATTTATAATCCACTTATCTACCTTCCTATAGAAATTAAAATACCTGTTCCTGTAGAAACATAGCTTTCTTTGCCTCCTCTATGAACGCATCTGTCTGTCTGTCTGTCTGTCTGCCTGCCTGTTCTGACCTAGGTTTCCTTAGAAAGCATAAAACACAATCTTAGTTCCGGCAAAATCTCTTTTATTTCCATGGCTGTGAATTATGTTCATTCACAGCCTGCAAGGCTTCACAAACAATCTTTCAGGGGAATGTTGATAAACACCCACCTTATCGCACTTGGAATGCTGCCAAAGAACTAATTGCCAAAAAGCAGGGCAAGGCCAAACTTGACACAGAGTCAAACAGAACTTTTCAAAGCTTGAATCAACCAGACGAACTAATTGCTTCCTCCAAAAGCTCATGCGCCTCTTCTCTGTCCTATGGGAGGGGTCAATCATCTCTGAGGTGTGGCCTTATTCCTGAGTCGACCCTGCTTTCTCAATTGTTCTTGTCTTCTGGTAGCCCTGTGCATGTGCAGGCTGGGAACTGGTTCCAGAAACTCTCCTGCCTCACTGCTGTCTGAGTCTGAAGGCAGCTGATGACTGCCAGTCTGCCCTGGCCCCATCTCTGCCTCTGATGCAGAGCCCTCATCCAAGCCTTCCTCAGCCTCCAAGACTGGCCCAGGTTTCTCCCCAACTTCTTCACTACTGTCCAACTCTGCTGCCTGCTTCGTCAGCTGCCAGCAGGCCACAACACTGCCTGTCTATCATCTAACTAGCTATCATCTCTCTCTCTCTCTCTCTCTCTCTCTCTCTCTCTCTCTCTTTCTCCCCTACCTATTCTATCTATCTATCTATCTATCTATCTATCTATCTATCTATCTATCTATCTATCTATCCATCTATAATGCAACTCTTGAAGTAATCACCTATTCTAATGTTTTGCTTTTCACAAGCATCACTTTCCTCCTTCACCTAAAACAAAGGACCTAAAAGAGTGGACCGAATTCTTTGCAGCTTCCTCTTTCATCTATGACACAAGGAAAGATTGACATTGTCAATCTTTCTATCTCAATGGACCAGGAGAGGCCATGCTGGTATTAATTGGCCATCTAATCAAGTCAGGTAGAGCCCCACACCTCACGGAAGTAAGGCCTGCTAAGTTCAAATGTGCTTATTTCCACCTTAACTGTAGCTAAAACAACCCCTTAGTTTAATAGGATTTTGCAATGAACAGATATTTGCAGGACTTCAGTGTCTGTCCTTGAAGGACAAGTTATTGTGAGATGTGTAAAAACGTAACAAAGCAGATAGCTTTTCTTGCTCAGAACATACGAATATTTGAAATGAAGGGTCCTTGGTGCTCTCTGACTTTGGTTGTTTTCTTACAGATGTTTCTGCCATGTTTCTTGCTGAGGTTGAAATCAAGGACCCTCTTTTCAATCCTGAGCTATAAATATTCTCTTTTATTAATATCATTGTATATTATATATTATTAATATATGAAATCGATTTACGGTGTAATCCTACACAAATCAGTTAAAAAACAAGAGATTACAGGAGAATTCAATGGGATTTATACCTGGGTAAATATGTATGGCAATGTAAAGATAAGAATAAAGATATTCTCCTGTTTGGATGGACTTCTAATATAATTCAACCATGTACCAGTAATTTTCTTCAAAAGCTGAGAAAATGATTTGTGTCTTCCATTCTGCCTTCTTCTCCCCTCCTGCGATCTCCCAGTTTCACCTATAGCCCTGGGATTCCCAGGTAAACCATCCCCCCATTCAAAAACCAGTAAGGTTAGGAGCAGTAATACTAGTAAAAATCTCCCTTCACACCTCTTGGTTTCGAAGATCAGCCAAAACCAATAACTGAATCAGGGTGTTTGAGAGTGGTGATTTTTCAAGTGGAATCAGATATTCTAGTGGTGACTTTTCAAGCTACTCCCTGATATTTTCTACCAGGGTCTTATAGTATGCAAGGTCTTTCCTATAATTTTCCATAAAATGTGTCCAGGGTGCCCTAAGTGCCCTGGAGAGTCAAAAGTAGAAATACCCCCACCCTAGCTTGATTTTTATGCATGAGCCTCATCCCACCTTGTACAACCAAATGGTGGGCAGGGCTTAACTAGGGCTTACTTTTGGGGTAGGGCTTACATTAGGTGCAGGCATGAAAATCAGGCTACGGCTTGTTTTGGGGGTAGGTTGTATTTTGGGGAAAACACCATATTTTGGTGGTTTCCAAAATACGGCAGCAACAAGAAAATAAAGCAGAACTTCAAATATTACAAGATGCCATGTTGGCCAAAGGAATGATCTCAGGATTCCCATGGATGGAATGATGCTAACCTGGTATCTTCCTAAGAGTTCCAATGCTCACAGGAATGACTATCAGGAAGCGAGAGTGATACTCAAAGGTGTTTTGGACAAGCAGTGTCCATCTCCACACATCAATGTTTTCAGAACTGCCTGGAGGAATCTTTGTGGAAAATGCATCAAATCCAGAACTGAAAACTAGAGGAATAAGATGTCAGATGATTAGCTATAAAGCTTACAAGCACAAATGAATCCATTCTGATGAAATGTCAAAGACGGTGATGGTGGGAAAGCTAAGGAAGAATAAAACTAAGAAAATCCCACAAAAAAATTAAGAACATACCCAAGAACATAAACAAACACAACAGATGCATTACTATGCAAATCATATGAGTATAGAATTGACTGGAATTTGCATATCTTAATATATTGCATTACAAAACAGGAGGTGTGCAAGCAGCAGAATATGATCACAATGAAAGGTTGTTGTTGATTCTTATGTTCTTTTGTGGACAATGCATCTCTGGTTTCAAAGCTACTTATTTATGGCTTGCACTGAAAAAAAGTGATCATAGAATTCTGGGAGTAATTACAAGGACAAAAGAGCACAAATAAAGAGAGTGACCATTAAAGACATAAATAGACATTCACCCACAGATGCTGACAATATTTTAGTCTTCTCCCTATTAAAAATCAATACAGACAGATCAAAGATGGCTGATTCTAAAATGCAGCTCTCTGGACTCGTAGATGACAACAATAAGGAGCATTTTCACTTTAGGTTCCTGGTTTAAATGCTGACCAGAGCTCAGTTGTGCTAACCAGCAGCTGAATTGTAGACACCACCGAAATGAGTTGGTTTTGATCCATTTTCTAGCAAAGAGCAATTCATTTCCAATAGACATACTTGGCATCTTTTACTAGCAAGTCTTCCCTTAGGAGTGGAACCAGTGTGGTGTTTTGTAAATCTTGTTTTGTAAGTCGCTCATTTGTTCTTGCCTATTATTTTGTTCGTTGCTGTTTTT